GAGCAACTGCGCATGCGCTGCATTTAACTGGGTTCTTTCGGTAACAAAGAAAAAGCTGAGAATTGCTGGGTTCTTTGCGTCGTTATCTTTTCTAACATATCTTTGTAATAAAAGACTAAAGCCATCAATACACTGCGTTCTGACATTTCACAAGTTCAGCTGCGAGCTAAACTGGTGGTGCTAAGCTCTTGTCACAGTGCCTGCGGACAGATTAGATCCGAGGGAGTGATTGGAATAGCTGAAGCGTTCTTAGGATCTGGTGCACGCTCAGTTCTGGTGGCATTAGGGGCATTAAATGACGGAGCAACAGAGCAGCTGATGTGTCATTTCTATGAGCATCTTGTTCGTGGGGAGAGTGCCAGTGAATCTCTTCACCAGGCCATGAAATGGATGAGAGGTAACGGCTTTACCAAGGTTTCTGACTGGGCACCGTTTACTCTGATTGGAGATGACGTGACATTTGACTTTGGAGAATAAAAGTAAGTTTGTTATGCTGCTTGGGGGTGTTAACAAGTCAATAACCCTTAACCTGAGGGAGTTAACTCACAATTTAAAGTGCGTAGGTCAGAATCCAAAACCCGGACTAATGTTTGTGCTTTTTTCCTTCTGCCTCCTAATTGGCTTCACGCTACAGAAGGGAGGGAAGCCATATCTTGTAGAAGCTTAGTTACTAGACAGTCTATTAGTGAGAGCTTTTAGAAGGAGTATAGTTTGGCATCTCATAGCAGCCTCCAAGCCTGAGCTCTCCCTGTTTATCAGCCATTGTTGACCCTGACTCTCATGCCTATTGTCACGTGCCATTTTTTCACTCAATATCTTTTCTTTAATCCTCATCCTAATGAGAACGTTACTGAATCACAAAGCGAATACCTTAGATGATCAAAATGGTTCAACATCTAATTAATATGCAAGGTTTAACTTATTTCTTGTGTCAATCAATCAATAGAGCGATCAATCTTTTAATCTTGTTGCTTAGGAGCTTGTGGGCTCCTTAAAAAACATAAGTTTCTTTTTATTTCAAAAAGAGTTATCAGCCTCAATTGATGAGAAATAAGAGCCTAAGTTAAGTTGAAAATTGTACAGGGGTGTTATTAAGGCAGTAAATTAGAAGCATGAACCCATTATTACTCAATAAGCTAAAGAGTTGTCTTTATGACATGGTGGTCAACGTTTTTTTCTCTTTCTCTGTGTGTGGCTAGCTGTTTTGATACCGCAATTGTAACAGGAATCCTGATTATTAGCTCATGGATGATGTCATCCATGAGCTTTAGCAGGCAGTCAGATGGGCACTCGCTCGCTCACTCACTCACTCACTCCATTCTAATTAAATTATTCATTAAACCTGGATTATACATTTTTCCCCTTCCTCCCTTGCTAAGTATTGTTTTTGTGAAAGAGTCTTCAGCCCATGTTTGGCAGGTTTTAGGGGGGACTAGAAAGGCATACATTTTGGTCCGATATCAGGGAGAGCCTGGGTACGAGGTTCTGGAAGGATCAGCCATTTCAGTTTCATGTGTCTCGCTTTTGTAAATAGGTAGTATTCTGCCTATGGGCTTTTGCTTGCATATAGATGAAAGCTGAGAGAGGTATTTATGACTATGATCCTGTATCGGTCACAACAGCGTGACCAACGAGGTCAAAGAATTGATACAAGACAAAGTTAGAAAGTGAGATTATGTTTAGCAAACACGAGAGCTTTTTTTTCTTGGCTAACTAGAGAATTTGATGGTTTCCACTTGCTTTCTCTCCTTGTAGAGTCCAAGGTAAGCCTAAGTTCTTGTTAAGTTTTGGCTTTATTGTTTCTGTATTGTATTGTTTTTTTGTACAAATTGAAATTCTGGCGGTGCTCGTATTGAAGTTTTTAAATTTGTATTTGAAAATAAGCTTACTTAAAGCAAAAAATTGCTTTATCATTTAATTTTGTTGATCACTCTACATTTCTGTATTCTATGCAGTTCGACCAGAGTGAACATTTCTTCACGGATGGTATATAAGTCAGCCTCCATGACAGAGTAAATATAATCTAAAATTTGAGAGAGGGATCTTGGTTAGACCAATGAATATCAAAGGGACTGTGTAGATCGAGCGTCGATAAAACCAGGAACCTGCAACATTCTGGAACATCCTGCGACATCGAATAGTTATAATAATTATGAGAAAAATATGTTAAACTAAATTTAAAAATTTGAATTAAACAAAAATAAACTGGTATCAGCTCGGAATATAAAAACAAAACAAAAACAAAAACATAAGAAAAAAAGACAGAAAAATGAAAATGACTGTTATGAGTGAAGGATACCTTCCAGTCATTCGCCATCAATTTAATCACGTGACTGTCCCTTAGTCCCATATTTCGTTCATAGAAAACCGAGATGGTGGCGTTCAAACTCTTTAATCAGACTGAAAAATATGGGTACCCGACTGTGATCTTTATTCAATTCATTACGTCAATTCAAAGATATGCGCATACACGATTTCTCATGAAGAAATAGTTTCTCCATGAGATAGAAATAGAAACTCTTTAGTATTGAGTTTCTTGTCTTATTAATAATAACTTGCTTGTTACTCAGGCTTCTGGAAAGGCTGAGTCTGCACTTGGTGGGTCATAGTGCCAGGCATTTCTAGTGGAGAGCACAAAACTGGGAATGATAACAACATTAACAAAGGAAATGCAATGAATTACCTCGCATTGATCGTCCGAATCGTCCATGTTTGTGTTGAAAAACAGAGTGCTGTAAAGCCACATGACGCAAATGGCGGGAAAGAAGAGGACCCTGTTCTCATTGGACTCCCCTACCCCCAAAAATCTCTTTTCATATTTTGAGCTGATACCAGTTATATATATATTTTTATTTTATTTATAAAAATTTAATTTTACATATTTTTCTCATAATTATTATAATTTTTTGATGTTCCAGGATGTTCCAGAATGCTCCATGTTCTGGGGTTTATTGACATCTGTGTAGATCTACTTTTTGCAAGAGAGATTTACTGTCCAATCATGTCAAACACAACTCGTGTCAAACACGCATGGTGGCTGGTGATGTATGTAGAGTTCTATTTTGCTTCTAGAGACAAGATATGTAAACAATTAGAATCAAAGCTCGAAATAAATATAAATAGTGTACCTGTCAACAATCGTTTTGAATATCTATGCATCGCTAGTGAAATTAACACAAACAATTGTAAAGATAGGAATAAAACACTCTGATTTCCATTTCCAGGAAAGAAAATTATGGTTATTTTTGTCTACATTACAATCTGCAATACCCTTTTTATTTTGTCATAGTTGACTGAAGGTGCACTTTTTAGGAGGAGGTAAAAAGGCAGGGATTTTAAACATTAATTGCAAATTTATTCATGAAAAGAGATGTAGTGGGTCTACTGTGGGTATGTGAAAGGGGTTTCAAGTTCGAGGCCACATGTATGTGACAGGTAACCTTTCTGGAAAAAACACATGGGCAGAGCCTCCTTGTTTAAAACTTTTTTAAGTCCCTTCCCTCCCCGCCTGGGTATAGCTGTATGGAGAAAACTTATATTGTAACTAAGAACATCCCCTTCACTTCAGGTTCAAGGTCAAAACCAAATTGAACTTTTTTGGTACAAGATTTAGCAGGGGGTTTTCATGGCAGAGTGTTATTTTCAACCAAACTGTTTCAAGTAGCCCTTTCTGGGAGGGATGCTGGAAACTGTCTGAAATGATTCTTAGAATATTTCGAGAAATACTTTTCTCTCTATTCCCATTTACCAGCTAGCTAAAACCAGATTGTTTACATTTGCGATGGCATGAAATAAACAAGAGTTTGGCAATATCTGCGTCCCAGTAAAGTAAAATTGTGCAAAATATTCTTGGCATTCTCAAGCTGATTGTCTTTAAATTATAACTGTCTAAACAATGTGACATACTGTCTGTATAGTTGCAATATAGCCATTTCATAATGCAACAGTCGAATGTTGACTGGACAAGGACCACGATCAAATTACCTTGACCCAAAATGCACTGCAGACTCACTAATACATGTATTATACATATTATAACCAACTCCTCTGACTGGGTGAATATGGTGAATTCTCATTGAATGGCTTCATTGTGCAATAGATTGTAGAAGTTATTTGACACTATTCTTGCAGATGAGAGCTAGGAACTATGATGGCATTTACAATAACGATGTTCCAGTGCCAATCAAAATAATATATTCCATTTTAAAATTTATAAACGGTCTGTATAAACAGCCTCTGATTTAATTTTTGTATACTTAGCTAGTTTCACTGTACATGTACTCCTTGAGCTTTCAGATAGGCGTTCAAAAAGTCATTTCAAAAATTGTCAACTATAAACTAACTATATGAACTAAATGTAAGCAGGCACACGTGTGCTCTGCGGACCTATATTTTGCCTTGCCGTGGGTTCTTCAACGTTCCAAATAACTTTCAATACTCCCAACCCACCAATTCCTCTTTATTATTCGACTATTTTTTCTAGACTAATCCAATTCATCCAGAGCTGGCTCACAAGAGCCTCTGATTCCATTTAACACTATTCCTGATGGCGATTAATTCTTCTATCGTCGTCCATTCGCGTGCTCACCTTACCCTCAAGCCGGAGGAGAAGTTACTAAGTGAGAATCTGGCCAAGTCCGATTGATTCTTTTCTGTGAATGGCTATTCAAATTTCCTTTTAAGTAAAGATGCGCGCGAAGGTTAAAACTGCTCGCTCAAATGTACGACTACTACGCGACCAAACGTGCGAAATGATTGTATTAGGTCCACTGTATTAGGTATTAGGGCCACTCCTAAACAAATTTCACTCTGAAGTTTACCCAAACAAGGAATGAAAAGCCAATCGAAAGAAGAGCCTGGTTGGTTTTTGTTGCTCGTCAGTTTATATTTTCCATTTCTCTTGTAATTAATTAGTTTAAATTCAGTATGCAACTTAAATTGTTCTTCAAAGGGATTACGATAGAAAACCACTTTGAATAAACTTAATTTATTTTGAAAAATTCTATACAAGAAATTAAAATGATACTCATGATACTAAGATGTTTAAAACAAACTTCACCCTTAAATTAACACGCCTGCTGCTTGCAACACTGATTGAAGGAAGTCTGCCATTACAAACCAAAACTATGCTTTGTAACAGGAAACAGAAAAACACGCAATCATTTAAAAACGTAAGTGAGGCTCATTAAAAGGAAAACTCAACGGAAAACGGTCATCAGCCTGGTGAATACAGTATTAGTTTGTTTCTACAACATTCCAATATGACTCAGCCTGTTGTCCAGTTGGAGAAGGAAGAACATTGCCCGAGATACAGTGTTTAATGTGAAGTCAGATCACTGAAAGATGTATGATTGCTTCTCACTAAATTTTCGCGGTCTGTTATCAAACTCAATTCACTTCGCTACAGCTCTAATTTGTTAGAGTACACTGACGTTTTATATGGATATTTTTCCATGGCCACAGGCGGCACATCTTGAAAACCTTACACTATATTTTTCAAGCTCGCCGTTTGTAGTCTAAACAATCTTCTTTAGTCTTACTTACGCTTGCTTAGGTATACATCTACGATCCCGACGTCAATTGTGATTAAAAAAATATTGCTAGGTTTCTTAACTCGAGAAATTGTGATCTCGGAAGCAAGATTTTACGGGCATTACTTAATTTGACGTTTGACGTTTGATTAACATATACTGCTGATTTCGCACCTTGCCTGCACTCTTCGAATGGTTCCTCTAGTCCCGTCGGGGGGTGGGGGGAGGGGGACTCTCATGTGAATACGTCGGGGATGCGCGTCGTCACCCTTAGGGGTGTAAATCACGGATTTTGGTCTCACTTAGGATGTTGACGACAAAACGCCACAATGCTTAGCCCTCAAGGTATCTTTCAGGGTTGCACTCGAAATAATAATAGAAAAACGCTGTCTGTCCTTTTCAAAGTGGTATCTTGTAGGGGTTAAATACAGCTCGAGCCACTTCCAGAGTGGTCTCTTTTAGGGGTTTAATTCAAATTGTCCGAAGAGCATCCCAACCTTGTCACATGAGAGGCTTCCACCAGTTGTTCTTCATGACATGGCAACTACACTCTTCGGATCGTTTAATGTCTTTAGTTGCGGTTACCAATCAATTAGTGTGTTCAACTGGACGACAAATAGCAACAAGGTACTGATCCTATAGGCCTAGACCATTTGTATACACCAAAAATATCTAACGCAGGACTGGACTACTGGAATGGAAAACCAAACATCTTCGCCAATAGAGGTAATACATTCAAGATCCAGGACGAACTTGTTTCTCCAACTCTTGCACGCATCTTCGTCCCATATCCTGCAAGCTACGACGAACAGCATTCTGTAAAAGTCCTTCCAGTCTTGGATCATTGCTGCAAAAGAGAATAAATCCATTGAAGACGTGAGCGGCTCAAAAAGGTGTGCGACTCCTCGGGCCTGACGTATTTTCGCCAATATGGAGGGAAAGGGTGCGGAAGGGCACGTCCTTCCTTCATCCGCCACTGTAGAGCATCCGTAGCGGCAATTCTGCTCCGAAAAGAACTACTCCTATGAGGAGAACGATTCCATTGAATGCTTAAGTTTTTACAACCTATATCACGCTAGATGGAAAATCCTACAGACAGTCATCGCCAATTCAGGCGGTTTTTGCAACTAACACAGTGGAGGTTGAGGAAAAGGCCCGCAGAGAATCAACGAGAAGACTCACTCAGTGAAGACTGACTCAACCACTTACCTTACCAACATCTTAACCACATTGACAACAGTACGACATTCCCTTTTGTACACCTACGACAACAATGGAAAAAAAGCGTCATGAATCCAATAACTGTAAGATGATCATGTCGAGTGTAAAGGAAATGTTAAGACAAACACGTGCCGAAAGACTGACAAGCATGCTGTAATGTACCGGAAGTAGCGAAAGTAGCGACCTCGAATGTAACTTGATAAACAACTCCCCCCTCCCCCCCTCCCCACTCTTTCCTTCCCTCCCCCAGCGATGTTTCCCTAGCGTACGCTTTAAGAAGCGTACTGCGCTGGCGACAAAGAAAAAACTTTACTTTGTTGCGGGGTTAATTCGGTTGGACAAGCTATATCCTTTACCATTTGGAATTACCAGAATTTTCCTTTAAGCAATGCTACTCTCCCAGTAAAAAACCTTACAAGACCTAAAATAAAAGTACTGTAAATCCTGATGAATTTTCACCTTGTATGTAAAGATTACAGATTACTGAACCTGTGTTTTTTAATAATCCTCCACGGTGAATATGAAGAAAGAAATCAATGTTGATCAAGAGCAAAATACCTGGCCCAAGTTGTTCCAAAGGGGGATAACGCTGTCCAACAGATAAATCACTGTCCAGCAGATAGAGTGGTTAACAACCATCATCCCAAGAGCGACTTCTGGGAATATTGCCCAAAATGTCCTTATCAGGCCCCACCCAACCCCCTCTCGGTTTGTCAGGACATAATAACCACAAGCACTTGACAACAAGCACTTGACAAGTAGACATGGTTACCTGCTCTATTTCTTCTTTCTTTCTCCTAAGTCGTTCCATCCTTAAAGCGATGTACTCACTTTCGTTTCCACTGCAGCTATTTGCTTTCTTTTCCATGATATTCGTATTTTCATTGGACGTTTTATACGGCGGACTATGAGCTGTAAATGGTGACGTATTTCCGGTTTTACAAGTAGGGGGTGGACAGTCAGTTGTAGCAGGGGTACCGCTTACCGCGGGTGATAAGCTACACGCCAACTCCGCATTCTCGCTGTAAGTGTCTTTTTCTGTCATCGCAGTATATTTGTCACCAGAGAACTTATTGATGGATGAACCATCACCTTGCAAAATCTTCAAAGAGTTGCTCTCTGGAACCATATTCACACTTGCATGAGTAACTGTAGACGTGCTAGTTTTCTTGAAATATCTCCCGCGGTGAGCAGCTTGAGGTGACCTTTTGATATCGTGATTAAACAGTGGAGTGGTTGGTATGATAAGCTTGAGCGGCTTACGTGGTACTTTACAAGGACGAGATGCATCTCTTGTAGAATCGGGGTGGGTCCTCTTGTTAGCAGAGCAAGACGTCGAATTGGAAAGCGTTTGCTCATTTCCATGAGGTAAAACTTGCTGCTGAATTTCCCTCAAGCATTCACTTTGCGCATCTTTTTCGTTTTCACCTTCTATTTCTAAAACTGTACTTCCTGGTAGGACAGAACTCTTTGGCATCGACGTTCCCTGATCACTAAATCCAAAATCCTTATTCTCACCAGTAGACGCAAAAGGTCTCTTATCAGTAACATCAGATGTCCCTGGAATCTCACTCATGTTACTGACATTAGATCTTCCCCAGTTAGTCTCACTTCCTGTTATTTGACTTGGTATCTGGTCTGTGCTAAGACAATGTTCATTAGGCACATGACTTTGTCTCAAGTCCAATGGCGGCTGTGTAACTAATAACCCATCACTTTCTGGAAGATCTCCCGATAGAAATGTGTCTTGATTTGCTTTACAACACGAAGGTAACGATTCTTTGGCAACACTAAAAGCACCGCTTGTCCCACCACAGTCGATGCAATTATCAGGTCCTTCTTCAGACCTTACACTCTTGGGTGCACTGTTGATTTTGACGACTTCCTGGTCATCATCGTGAGCTACAAATTTCATCCTTTTCAAAGGAACATCACTAATGAAAGAACCATCTGGAAACATTGGTCTCAAGTGACCATCAGTATCTCTCCCATCCTTTCGTTTCTCTACTTCAACAGTCGAGATCGCTTCAGCAACAAACTTTGATTGCTGATCACAATCAACTGGGCGATTGTTAGAGTTCTCGCAGAGAGGCCAACCTTTTCCTAACGCTGTATCCAGAGATAGAGACCTCACAGGTCTAGCACTTTTATCATTGGTTGCATAAAGTATGCGGGGTTTATGTTGAGTGACTCTGTGAGTATTAAAGTCGTACGTCTTGGCAGCGGTCACATACACTACCTTAGGTTTTGCATCCATGGAGACAGTTGCTGGTAAACTTTTCGTTCTCTTTTCGCTTCTTAACAAAGGCTTTACATTGTGTTTGCTCCCTTCGTCTGTCATGGAATTATCTGAACAAACCTCACTATCTTTGGCAACACTCTTCCCGTCTTTATCGCTGGTAGCAACTATGTGATTTTTCATCAGGTCTTTGGTTGGCAAATTCCCATCAATGAAATATTTGGCTGGCGAAACGCTTTTTCTTGGAGCCCCAGATTTAGGTGATCTAAAATACCTGGAAGACCTTGGGGTTGTATCACTCATACTATCACCCTTGACTATATGATTGAAATGCAAAACCTCTTCTTCCTCGTCAGCAGCCCTGCTTCTTGATTTGTTCTTACATACTTCAGGATGGACAACTTCTATCGCTTCACAAATAGGTGCATCCGTCTCATGTCCACCACCCTGGTACGACACGTCCTCATTGGTAATACATACCTCAAAATCACCTCCACTCACGTTTGTCGGGTGACTTGGAGAATACGGAGATGTATCATTTTTAGGAAGTGGGGAACGATGTTCGTCACTAGTCCAAGTTGGGCTGCTCGGAGAATAAGGCTTACCACCATCACTTTCTATACTGCTGGTGCTGGTATTCACACAGACTGATGACCCAATGAAGTGATCTCGAGGTTCCTCCTCCGAGGATATCTCCATATCGACGTGCTCAAAATCTTCGGTAATCAAATGATGTTCTTTCGCTTGCGGATTGACACTACTGATACTAAAGAAAGAAGCGCTTGATTTAGTAGCATCAACATCAGTCGTTGAGTACTGAGCTTGTGCCGCACTCAAGTTGCAAGGTTCTAAGCTTGTCCAACTCGGATGATGTGTTCCAATATCAGCAGGTTTGCCTTTTGATGCTATTTCGCTCAGCTGAACCTCTTGACTACTGAATTTTAACCTTACATCCTCAGTTGTGTTGTTTGCTATGGATCGAGTCTCTTGTTTTATTTGAGCATCAGCCATGTTATATGAATTCGTATCCACGTGATAACTTTCCTGGTCTGTATCTGTCTCATTATCTCCTCCATTGATCTCAGTGTGGTTGTCCTTTCTCGTGTTATCTGACCGATTTCCATCGTTGGAGCAATACACATCCTGTTGCATGACACAACCATCCACCATGTTATACACTTTATGCTCTATGTCATCATATTTCCGTTGTTCGCTGATAAAATAACCGTTATTTGAAGTGTGCTTTTCTTTCTTTGCATTGTTAACACCATTCGTGACATCATTACTCTTCGCATCACAAACCTTTTCTGTGTTAAATCCATTAAATCCAGCATTTTCAGAGTTGTGTTTCTTGTCTTTCATGTTCCAAACGTTATTACTGTTTTCCTCTCTACGCATGACATCGATACTTTCTATGACACCGTGTTCTTGATCTAGGCCACTGGCATCAACCACAGCATCCTCCACATTGGTACCCTCTCTGTCAGGAATATCCTCGCCAACACTTACCTTGTTAGACAGGTTTTGTTGTGTGTTATTGACACTAGTGACGCAGACTTGTTCTGTGTTAGTGACATCAAAATCAGCATCATTTCCTTGGCACTCCTGATTTCTAGAATTACAAACGTGATCAATGTCTCTGATGTTATAAACCTCTCGTTTTGTGACCTTGGCACCTTCAAGGATATACACTTCTTCGATAATATACGTAACCTCCTGGCATTTGAAGAAACTAACATCATCTTCCAATTCATGAGCTTCTTGCACCGCACTAATCACATCAGTGATATCTTCATTGTCGCCATCGATATATTGAGGAATTACCTCACGGCATTCTGTTTTGCAAGCCCCAGTGTCGAAATTATTTACTTGGTGGGATTGAGTACGGTATTCATTCTCAGAGACATACTGCTCCTTTCCTACGTAGATGGCATTATCTTGCACTTTTTCCATGGTACATGCTGCATATATTCCACTGTTATTACACTTAGATTGCTCCGTGTTATAACCTCCCTGTTTCAAGGCCTTTGCATTGCGTACAATACTGCAAACATCTACTTCCGGGGGTGGGACTTCAGATCTTGTGGGACTGACGTTGTGACAATCATTACCTAATTCGGAGGTATTGTGCTCTGCTTTTGTAATATCAGGACTATCTTCCTCGCCCCTCTCAACCATAGCATTTTCTGTGTTGTTCAATTCCATAGGATGACAAAACACTTTGTTTGGTAAAAGAACTCCTGGCGAAGTCTCGTCAGAGGAAACACTCCTTTGCAAGTCCTTCCGACAGACACTACCATCAATTTCCTTGCCAACTTCAATTATGGAACTGTTACTTGTTCCAAGCTGGTTTTCGCCTTCTCCGCAAACACTAAAATCCTCTGGCAGCCACGTTTCTTGAACTAAGTCCAGTTTAGGTATGTTTTCTTCAGTTGAAGAAATTTCCATGTGAGCATGTTGCAAATTGGTTGACAATATCTCATTGGATGTGTCGTTTTCTGTGTAAATCTTACTTTCTTTCACGGGGCTCTGGCATAAGGCGAAATCGTAAGAATTAGGAACCGGTTTTTCAGCCGGATGAACAGGTTTTTCAGCCGGTTCATTAGTGGTCTTCAGTTCGTCCATGTGACAGTTTCCTTGCAAAGAGTTTTCTTTATCTTCCATTTCCGCCATAAAATCCGCTTTACTTGTCCTTTGAAAATCAGTTTCAGGAACCTCCACTCTGTCCGTTGTCTTAGGGTCATCTACAATAAAGGTAGAGTTTTTCTTTACATCCATAAAGTCATCGTTCTCTGTTGAGATGTCTTCAGTCCGAGCGTTTTTCTCGGTATAATCTAAATTCTCTTTCGACAAGTCATAACCGCTGTAATCTTCTTCAACCTCGCTCATGTCCTGATCTGAACTGCCTTCGCAGCAGGGGACTGCTAGGTGACTGGCGTTGTTGTCAGGGGTAGTAATGTTTCCTTCAGGTGTCCCTCCTACAGCCCACTCCTCAACTGGTGTTTCATTCGTACACCGATCAACCTCAAATGTATCCAGCGATTGCAGATTCTCAGTGGCCACAGGCTGGGCATGCTCCAGGCGACTCTTTTCACTGGGACGATATTCTTCAGATTGTCCAGCGGGCTTCGTGGTGTAACCTCTTACACTGTCAACACCTTTAAGTGCGACAGAAGTAATACTGCTCGATGTGCCTTCTTTAGAGGAACCTTCTTTACTTCCTGGTCTTCTCAAGAGTATCTTGCATTCTGTCAAAGTGACAGCTACCGCATTCAAAAGGCGATCTGCTCTTTTTTTGATGGAATAGTCTGTGACATGCTGTCTTTGCTGTGGACAACAAGAACACGAGCACAAATGTCAGTAGATTTGGAAAAAGTGGTTGTAAATACAAGAACTTAGGTTGTCGTGCTTTATCAATATAAACAATTTATACACGTAGCCAAATAATATGTCAGACCTAATCATGACGCCTAGCACAATTTTTGGCTACATGTGTTGTCATCAAGATGTTCAGCGCTTCTCCACCAAAACAAAACGTGCAAACGGTCGTCTTCTGTGAAGAGCACTATCTACAGGAGAATCTTCTTTTCAGTAAAATATTTGCCTCATCAGCATAAGCGAAACAGTTTCTGATGGAGTTGCAAAACATTAGTTGTGAATATTGAAAGGGCACAGCGCGATTAACTGTCGCAAAAAATTTGAGCCCGATGTATTGAATACGTTTTGTGCGACGCGGGTTTAGAAACTCAAAACTTGAATGTATGAGCTCATTAGCGCTTTTACCACCCAGAAATTCTGCAGTTTTGGAAAGCCAATTTCTCCTCGAATATTAAATCCAAAGACCCAAATATTTCACCAACTACTAAGTTTCACAAGCTCTTTAAATGTTTGTAGTCAATTCGTGTCTGGCGTGATGACTTCTCTGCGCAAAAGCGTAATTTATTGAGGAAAAATGTAAACAGTGATGTCAGCAAAGTTCGCCTGTTGAGAAACTGTATAGAGCGTTTGGACATGACGTCATGGCAGCCATATTGGTGTTCCAAAACAATGAAACAGCGGCCATGTTGGTCTCCTGGTCACGTGAGTGAAAACGTTCTTTTCCTGCAAGTGCACTTGCCATGTGTTATTGCTTGTTCGCACCATTACAAGCATTTCTGGTGCAACGTGGAGTGAGGGAATAGCCATGTATCATTGTCCAACTAAATTTCAATACTTACCTGTCCTGATTTTCTTTTTTGCTCCTGAGGAAGTAGTTTCTTGATCCTACTTTCATTTGTTGTTTTTAGCCTCTTCTTCCCGGTGGAATCCCTGTTTCCGTTTTCTGGGTCAGAATACGTTGAGGCATTATCTGAGTGATTCAGGCTCGTTTTTCGTCCTGTAAAGGAATAATTACAAAGAAACGAGAAAACATAGATTTTAATGCTGCGAAACTTTTGGTGTCATTCAGTTTTACCTGTAACTACTGAGAAAAGAGCGATGGAATGTTTTGTGCCATGTACATTTTGTAAAAGTATCATCACTTATTGTTTTTTCATTTATTGTTTGTTCTTATCAGTTTTTTGCTTCTATATATTCGCTCTATCGATGACGGGTTCAAATTAAATTGTCACTAGAAAGACTAAAAAGGAATTTTTTTTCCAGAATGGCAAGAGAAGGTAACAGCAGATCACAACAACTTGGAGTACTTATATTTTGAAGTCATAATCACGTTTACCTGCTCTTAACCCAGAAATAAGAACGTTTCCAACTAATTAACAATAACCCAGAAGCGAACTTACTTCTTTTAATAGTCTCAACGTCATCTCGTCTTTTTTCATCATCGTACTTATGCCGTTTCCTGTTTGTACCTTGATTGGAAGAGGAAGACTCGGCCGAGCTGTAGGAACCCGGTGATTTATCACGTTTATCTGGAGAGGTTTTTGTGGCTCTTTCCGAATACTTTATACTGTTCTCTCTACTTCTCTCTCTTAATGAAGAATGTTTTCTTTGTTGGTGTAACATCAGAGAACGTCGCAGATCAGTCCCTCTTCTGCCACCATTTACATTTCCATTCTCGACACTTCTTTCTCTCAACAATGGCACCTTGGTATTTGGATTTGGGGAGTAACTGCGACTCTCCATTTTTCTTCGATCTAGCCGCTGTTTATTGAAGGCCTGACTTGATCTTTCGCTGCCCGTTGAGGTTCCCTGATGTCTAAAATCAGAACTCCTTTCTGCAGACAAACTTCTACTGCTTTCCCTTTTCGCCGAAGAGTGTCTATTTCTGGCTGGCGAAATGCTGCCACGACCTCTTCTTGAATGAGCAGAATTAGAAGTTATTTCTGGGGAAACTTTTAACGTTTTGTCCAAGAGATGGGGCTCTCGGTCACCATAGGCCTTCGGACGTACATTCACAGGCGAAGCACTATGACGACCTCTATCTCTGAAATGTCTGTGAGTATTGCTTACCCACTCATCTGATCGTGACCTTTCGTCTGACAATGCTGCAGCTCTTCTACCGGTGAACTCTCTAAGCTTGTTGCAGGATCTTGGGTTCTGTACCCACGGACTGTCTTTGGGTGTGTCTGTGATGACGGCTGGGTCAGATGGCTTCTTCCTATTTGGGCTGCTAGGTGTAACTGCCTCCCATCTTGGCCACTGCCTTTCTTTATCGAATGAAGGGAAACTGTTATGATTGCCCTCTATAGAAAAATGGTAAGTGAGATAGTAATGCTGTTACAACAGAAATGCGGAACCAAAATTTGGCAATTTTAAATCTGTAACTTCCAAGACTGAAAATAATCAATTCTCTCCGCTGATTTCTTAACAATCTCTTCAAATATTAGATCTGGGAATTTGGTGGTAAATCAAGAAAAAAAGCCTCTATTTATGATATTCAATATTCTCATAACCTGCCTGCTTGACAACATAGTGACACTGCAAAGAGAAATTAGATCTTAATAACCCTCACTGTACCTTGATTTCTGCAATCTTGTGTGTTGATGCACTCCCTGTCATCATACCACTGTCTGTTCCTTGGCATCAGATCTTCACCTCTATAAGGTGGTTCTTCCCGTGTATCTTCAAACAGTCTCTCACTGTAGGCATAATGGTTATCCTCACACTCTTCTCTCAGGTGATCTTGATATATCTCAGGATAATTGTCATATTGACCAAAATCTTGCTCTCTTTCATGATCTTCTTCCCTTTCTGGCCAAATATCTCCCTCATGAGCATGTGACAATTCCTAACGTACAAATACAATTTCAGTGGTGGATCTAGGGGGGAGCCCAGGGGGACCCATCTCCCCCCCTATTTTGGGTAAGAAAGAAGAAATCACAGAAGGAAGAAAAGCCGACAGGGCAAGCAAAACAACCCCCCCCCCCATAGCTCAAGATCTAGTTCCACCACTTCCACCACTGAATTCAGATGGGTAAACATCACAATTAAGATAAAACTCATTACTCCATAGTACACTGTGGCACAAGATATCAGTGTTATGATGGTAATCACATCACTTATGAAATGACATCATTTGACGAATAGTTCACCGTCATTTACCTCTGGTGGAACAATATTATTGTATTTAGCGATATTAACAGGGATACTCGATCTTCCATGGAACATTCACATAACTGTTACTATAGCAATTAGTAAAAATTCTTATTTTGAACCTGGGACATTTCCATGTGAAAATGCACAATGTCTATTGCATGTAGGTTGCACAAACCTCTTCTCTGTCATAGTATTCCCTTTCCGAAAGGTTTTCATTTCTGCCGCTGAAGTCAGAGTCCCATCCAGCCCTGTTCTCATCAAATATTGGATAAGCTTCTTCTTCTCCTTCATCACCATTCCAGTATTGTTGTGAATACCCATTGCAGTGTTCTTTATAATTGAAATTCTTTCTTCTTTCAGCAAAAGTTCCTTCAGGATACCTTCTATTATCTTGATCAACCCTAAACTCCTCTTTACCATCATAACCCACAGATTCTCTTGACACTGTAGGCTTTGTATTAGTCTCCCTTGAAAAGTCGTTGTTATGCCTTGAGGATTTTTCTGTTGCTTCCTCAAAGCTTCTCTTGTCGTCCCATCTTCTGCTGTTAAGGTTATGATTATTTCTTTGAAATCTTCCTGATTGTGCCAAGCTCTTAGGTACTCTCCAAAAACTTATCTGTACTTTATGTCCCCAAAGATATTTTCCATTGAACCTTAATAATAAAAATATAATATCTCATTATAATCCATCAAATAGTTTCCCTCCTGTGCATTGGTCTAAGTGCATCACTTGACTGAATATTCCCCAGCTAAAACTGGGGAATATCCAAATAGTATTCCCCAATTTTCAAAATCATGCATGTTGCAAAAATATTTGAAGGATAAAATTATAAACAAATAACCTCACGCATGTTGCAAAAATATTTGAAGGATAAAATTATAAACCAATAACCTCCATCTGGCACGAAAATACGCTCGGATAATTTGTCCATACACATTATCTGTTCCTCAAAAGCTCACAGTTTCCTTGAGCTGCACTCTTGGAAAACTGAGTGCTTCTCGGAACAGATAATGTCCACGGACAAATATTCAAGCATATTTTCCTGCCAAATGGAGGCTATTGTTTATTTATTATCATATAATCCTCCCACAAGGAAACATAAAATATTTGTTAAGGCTAGTGTGTCCATTTTGGTGAAGAAATCATAGATCATGGTTTTAAAGCTAAAAGAAAAATTCCCATTTTCTACACTTCCAAAAATTGTAAAATTTCAAGAAAACCAAGAAAATTGATTAACCAGGGTGAAATGGGAAGGGCTTATAATTATTTTTAGCAGGGAAGGTCTTATTGAAAAAGATTCTAAAGATTCTACAGGGGAGTGGAGTTCAAGATGATGATTTAAGTTTGCTGGCAACAGTTTCTGGCACTTTGCAGTAGTTATTTATTATAGATAAATCAGTTTAGGAAGAATTTAGATAAGTTATTGGGTCTTTTCAACAGGTTGTGCTGTTACTATGGAAACCTATTATGCATGAACATAACCTGACTTGTTCTGAGGTAACATCACTTGATATTAAAGAGTTGTAGTATTGATCTGTCATAGTATAACTGCTGCGGTTGCCAGCGTCCAAGTGAATAAAGTTTTTACAGTCGTTTTACAATGTGACGTCGAGGGGCTTTAACAACAGTCTCTTGGGACAAGCAATATGGCTGCCTTAAACAACGTTGAAAACATCTTTCATTGAATGAAAAATTGGAAGAAGACAATAGTTAATCATTTAATAACTGCAGAATTAAATACAACATTGACGCAAGGCGATACAAGTAATAAATGTGTCTTCCTCAATAATGTTCATTGTAGGAAAACGGTTCAGCAAAAACTGCTGAATCTGACACTTTGCGAAAACCGCGTGGTCATTTTCACGAATGCATTTATTACCGGCTTAACGTACTGCAAACAACTAGAAATCAACTCGTTAATGAGACACTGGAATTTTCGTGAATTATGTAACCGTGCAAAGCGTATATTTCGATAAACAAAAGGGCTATTAGCCTTATTTCAGCCAGCACGTTCTGAAGTTTTACTTGAGCTCAACTTTACCTGTCAATGGCATCTTCAGCAAGCGCATTCGAGTCAAACTTGAGAGTGATGAAAGCCCAGCGCTTGTCCTTCGAAAGAGCAGTCATTTGAACGCAACATTTTCCGACTTTGTTTTCAAAATACTCCCTAAACAAAGCATAAGCACAAATCAACAATGAACAATATACATGCCAAAAATTGAGATGCGAGGCGCTCAGATTTACCTCACGTCGGAAACGTCGATTCCCGAGTCCGATGGAAATCCTTTGATGAAGACACAATCTCGAACTTCTAAGAAGTCTCCACCTATTGAGGGCATTATTTATAATGTCATAAGAGAGCTTGGAGTTGAACGCCAATGAACTTCTGGTCCGATCGTCGACTGCACAAATGAAACACGAAACTTCTTCACGCCGGAAGCTCTGGACTGTGTCACCTTTTATTTTTACGGATCGATTTTCACACGTACCAAACTCCGACTGATTTGCGCGGCCGATAAAACTAAATTCATAATTCTCCTTCTTAAAATAATTTTAAAACTCTCCCATAAAGAAAGTGAAATAGGGGGATTCCCAAATCTCAAGCTTTTTAATATAAAATCATTAAATATACAGATTGCTAATATCACTGATTACACCTCACCACCCCTCTCTAGAGAACATTTTTGTACTTAGCCTCCCTCCCTTAAAAAAGCCGGTTTTTGACTGCTTATGGGAAACCACGTGTAGTATTGTGCAAGTGAAAATGCGTATGAAACCGCTAAGTCCTCGAGAATCAGCTAAATTGATCTCCTATAAGAGCAAGGACGTTTCTATATGCCAAAAAGGCGTAGAGGAAGCGTCTAAGATCCTCTTTGACTGCTTCAAATCGAAGAAATACAGTTTTAAGATATGGAAATCACACGAATTGCACCCGAGCGAAATGACGAAGGAGACTCTAGACTGGATTGTTGTATTGGATACGTTAAACTTTTCTTTTTGGACCGATGAAGATATCGAGCCGTGGACGGTACGCTACGAAGGAAAGGATTACACAGGTTACTGGGCCCTTTGTGCCTCCATAAACAGAGCTCTTAAGGTATGAAGAAAGTAACTTTGAACAGTCTTAACTCTTATTAGTATGTTGTGTCAGGAAGAACATTGCGTCATCACAATTTTGTACATGTGAGTAGTAGGAGTAGTAGAGTAGGACTTTATTGAAGTGTCAAGGTCACTTGTTGTGTGTTAGTTATCTTTGCTTTTCTCTGTTCAAGCAGTTTAAGGCCTGGGTCAGAAATGTAAAGTAGAATTGTGGTTGGGCAGCTGTATCTCTTGTCAGTATAAATACTAGCGTTCTATCACGATCAATGCTGTTCTCGGATTGGCTACGCTACTCACTATCTATTTAATAAATAGATACCATATGCATGTTGCCGTGCATCTGTTCAGTAATAGATCACAGATGATGTCAAAATGTGGTAAGAATAAATAAGTGGCACACAAGGCGATAGCTGAGTGTGTCACTGATGTTCTTACCACATTTTGACATCTTCTGTGATCTATTACTGAACAGACGCACGGCAACATGGAATCTTTTTGTTTTATATAATAATGAAACAAACCACTACAGATAAAGATCTTTTTATTTCAAAATCTTTCAACATAACTCAAAAGCCAGCATTTGCCCACTTTGCCAAACATGAAAAAAGCCATTTGACATGATCTATTATCTATACAAAATGAAGCAATCTCACTGGTTGCTATGTGTAGCAAAGAATTGTGATTGGTCCAGGAAAATCATGCTACTGTCAAACTTCAGTCGAAAATCGCTTCTCGTGGATTGAAAACTTGCAGCAAAAGCAGAATTGAACTGCGAGATCTAGAAATGTTAAAGAAAGTGCCAAAAAGTCAAGGCAGTTTTTGTCATTAGAGCAGCCCTGTGAGCCAAAAAGCTTGGATGTTGTCTTGAATATTGGAGCTGGGATACAGTTGGCCGTGAGCTGGTAGTGAGCTCTACTTTTCTCGCTACTTTGCCCTGAAACGGACTGGAACTTTCGCGTTGGAAAACAAGGTTAAACTTAAGGTTATGTGGTTATTCATCAAACTGATGATGTTTTGATGTTATTTCCTGGAATCAAACCGTGTCAACAATTGTGAGACTGACAAAAGTTGAATTTTTAAATAAATTAATGACATAAACACTTTGCTTATTGGTTATGTTAAATTTGAGACAAAGCGATGGTTTCTTACCTTAAAGTAATTTCAACACCAATTTTGTGTTTGGGTTAGTCTTGCTCGACTGCACTGACTGAGACTGCTCGAGTATTTTTGCACGACTGAAAATATTGATGGATTATACTAAAACAATTAGATTATTTGTTCTCAATTTCTATGCATGATAGTTGACTTGGGCTGTGCCCTCATCAACTATCACATGATAGAAATCTCGAGCTCATAATCTTTTGACTATTATAATCCATGAAATATTTTTGCTCGCGCATGATTGGTCTAAACATGTCACGAGAATATTCCCCAGTTTTCAAAACTGCATGTGTTGCGAAAAATATTTGAAGGATGATAAACACAATAGCCACTATTTGGGGCAAAAATAGGCACGGATATTTGTCCTTGGACATTATTTGTTCCTTGAAGCTCACAGTTTTCTTTGAGCTACACTCTCAGAAAGCTGTTTGCTTCTCGGAACAGATGATGTCCGCAGACAAATAGCCTCCATTTGGTGCAATAATAGGCATGGATGTTTGTCCTTGGACATTATCCATTCCTTAGAGCTGACAGTTTTCCTCAAACTACGATCTCGGAATGCTGTTTGCTTCTCGGAACAGATAATGTCTGCAGACAAATACCTGGGCATATTTTCGTGCAAAATGGAGGCCATTGTTTGTTTATAATAATATTATTATTTGCTTCTCCAAGCTGAAATTTTTCCTGATTATAAAACTCAGTGCCCCACCTTGCCTGAACATATTATTTTGATCACGTAACCTGTCACGTGATCATTTTCTTAAATTTGGCAAAATGGTGGCAAAATTTAATTGTATTGATCAATAAATGAGCATTTACAATGCAAATTTAAATTATCTACCTTCCAACGTTTGGAATGATCTCCCTTGATTTGGTTTTAGAAGATATAAATGATCAAAGGTCAAATTTTGTTGGAAAAAAACGACCTTTGACCCTATAACACTTTTTTGCAAAAAGAGGAACGGTCATTTGGCCAAACATGAGAGGAAAAGCGTTATTGTTGGATGATTACTAAAAAGCTTCACCAATTCCTCAAATAATGGCTATTTTCCGCTAAACATCATGTGACACATCACATGACCTGTCAGAAGTACCAATTCTACCTTTAAATTTTGAGGATGTTAAAACCGAACTGTGTGCTAGGTTTGGTTTCACTGTCATTTATGTCGTCAGAAATATAACTAATAAATTATTTTTACCAGTAAAATTCTTTGATCCAGGCCTTAAAGTACTTGAGTGTACAAGGGTTGTTATGGAAGACACTGGGTACTATAAAACCTTTCTTGAGGCACTTGTCATTTGGCCTTTCAAGAGGAATGTTCCTCTCAATTTCAACGAAACTGCTTTCTCTTCCCTTCCCTCCTATTTCTTCTCTTTTCAGAAATTCTATTAACCACCTTTTTTTTCAACCTGCAATGGTCTTTACAAACCTTTTTTACCTGGGACACTTCCCCTTTTGATGAAAGGGTATAGTTCTGGCGGGTCTTCCATCTTTAACAGGGTAGTGTGTCAAAGGGGGGTANAGCAAAAAATAGTGCGATTCGTGAATAAATCGCACCACTGAGAGCCAATCAGATTGCAAGGATAACCAGTGATTTCAAAATGGATTTAATAAAGTTAGGAAAACTTAGCCATTATGCTATTATCATAATAAAGTTGTCAACTCAACTCAACTCAACTCAGGTTTTAAGGTGTCCCCTATTTTGTTATACATAGTTGTAGGTGTCTCCTATTAGCAGAGGGGAGCATTCTAGACACATCTATAATAAATTTATTTTATTGCTTCTATTTCTGATGTAAAATGAAATATCTTGGTCTTAAATAGAACAAGCTTGTATGGAAGCACGCCCGACACCCCCATAAAAGAACTTAAGTATGCTGACTGAGCAGGGGAGTTAGGGAGTTGTGAAGTACCACCCATCTCAGGCACCTTTTTTTTTAATTCCACAAGGGTTAAAACTAACCTGGTAGTTTATTTGTGTTGTCAGGAGGGAATCCCCATCACGACACCATCATATTATGCTAACATCACCAAAACTCAGTGTCAGCACATCTTCAGATCAGAAACACCAACTGAAATACCTCTTCTGGAAGGAAGGACAAGCAATTTAAATGAAGTTGGCAAAGTGCTAGTGAAGGACTACAAGAACTCATTTGTAAATGTGCTGTCACAATGTGACCACAGTGCAGAGAAGCTTCTTGGCCTAATCACAAGCACCTTCAAATGTTTTCAAGACGAGTCAGAATTTGATGGTAAAAAAGTGTCTTTTTACAAGCGTGCACAGATTTTGGTTTCTGACATCTGGGCTTGCTTTGAAGGGGAATCCCTGGGGAAGTTCACTGATATTACTTGCCTGACCATGTTTGCTGATTACAAAGTGCCGCAGTCGCTGTTGCATTTGGGAATCTTGAAATATACTGACAAATTGATGCAAAGGTTACAAAGTGGAGAGATCATTCCTGCTGGTGACAGATTAGAATTGGAGATCAGAGGAAATTCTATCTGGGCTGTGGAGCTAATTTACCAAGAAGTGAAAGCAAAGGCAAAGATCGATGCAGAATTCAGTTTGTTGTCACCTGAGAAACTAAGTTTGATTATAAATTCTGTTATCATTGATTTTTACTTGTGGGACTTTGCCAAAGAAAAGTTGGAAGGGTCAACTAACTTGCCATGTCATAAAACAAGAACCATATTTTATT